TTAATTGTACCATTTCTAATTAATTTTGTATAAAATTTCATACAAGATTTAAATAAAATAAAATATAAATTGTAAAAATAAAATAAAATATAATATTTATACTCAAAATCTGTAAAAAGATATGAATCTAATATAAAAATTTGTGCAAAATTAATTAAAGATAATGTCACGCCCCAGAACCTAAATCCGAGGCACGACAGACGCCGTGCACTCGTGAGGTAGGTTCCACAAATGCACAAGGCTCGGAACTTAACCAATTCTCATCTGATACCACTAAATCTGTCGATAAAAATCCTTAAAATTTACTCTAATATCATAGAATCTCCAAATACACTTTGGATTACAAGATCATGATTTATTTCTAAAATCTATGTCAATCTCGAAATGGCTAGCCTTCTAACTCGTCACTTCCCATGGTTTCCCCGTCCTCGGTTTCACTTCCTAAAATGGTGGACAAGGAAAACTATGAGATAAACTCAGTAAGTAAAATATGGAGTGCCCTTAATTAAACTTGTAGCATGCCAACAAGTACAATCACGAAAATAGATACGGTACAGGAACGAAATAAACGTCTCCACTATAGGTCATGGCCAGTGTATTAAACTTCCCACTGGCAGGCTACACTTGAACGAACCGGTTCTATCAATAACATGTCGACATGTGCTAGCGTTTAACCCCCACTAGCAGGATTACAATCAATAACATAACCATATCGGAGACAAAACAGGCAGAAGTTCACGGAAAATCATTCTTTACCAATCACTTTCAAATCATCAGGACAATCAATCAAATTTCAAGTAGGCATGTTCAATTTAATGAAAAGCATAAAAATTTTATTTCAAATCAATCATACTTACTTTTGTATAAAACGGGTTTAATCCTGCCACCACTTCGAAAACAAGTCAAAACATGCTTTTAAAAAGCTTTACCTTAAATCCAGGGCATTACCATAAGTTACTTACCTCACTCGCTTAAAACCAAAGGCTCAATTCACGGTGCTAACTGACAGGACGATCGGGAACCTAACCAAAACACCTTAGAATTAATACCGAACTATCACAAATTCAAGTTGAAATCATCATGACTAATCCCTAATCACGATATTATTCCTATCAATCTCCACATAACCGGACCTCTCCAAATTTATTCTTATATCACAAACTAATCATTTAAATCCCCGTTAATTGTTAACCCTCTGTGTGTGAACAGTGCCTATGAACAGTATCCGTGAACAGTGCACATGAACAGTAAAGGTAACTTATGAGCAAAATGGTCACAAACCCTCTTAAACCCGAGTCTAATCAATAGATCAATCCCTAATTTCACTCAAAAGCTCCTAAATTACATTTATCCATCAACCGAGAAAACCCAATTTGGATTTCTACTTCCACAGACAGAAAAATGGAAGAACAGGACTTGTATTCAATCAATTGTCTTTTGCAAAACAATCCCTAAGACACAGGATTTCCTCCAAAAAATTCACAGCAGCCAAATCAAGCAATTTATACTTAACCCAAGCTTAAAAACACATTTTATGCTACCCACAATTATCCCATAATTCCGGCGGGATCTCGGACAACGCAGAGCAACTAATTGGACAACAATTAATTGATAAATTCGAACTTAAAAGGGCTGTCCATACCAGAATTTTCCAGCTAAAACCGGAGCTGCAGGGAGAAGAAGAAGCCGGTGGCAAGCTGCAGGGGAACTAACGAACAACCAAAAAATGGAAAAACCAAAGTTAACTCAAGCTAAATCAAAGTTAAAGAGAGGAATTCATGGCTGAATCTTACCAGAAAACCGAACCCAACCCCACACAGCAGAGGCCGGCGGACAGAGGGGAAGAGGACAGCGCAGATCTGGAAAATTTCTGGGTTTAGGAGAGTGTTCTAGGCCTGCAACTTGGTTTTTGAGCAAGAAAGGAGGGAAATTTCAAGAGGCCTTCACCGGGTTGTTCAAGGGGAGAAAATCGGTGGCTTGGGGGCTTTTCGGGAGGAAGGATCGGGAAGAAGACAGAGCAGACCCGCGTGAAGATGAGGAAGAAAAGAAAAATATCTAAGCTTAATCCTTATCCTAATTTGTTTTCTTTTTAGTCCCTGAACTTTGAAAATTTGCCATTAAGTTCATTAATAGTATTTCTTCACAATTAGGTCCCTAACTCACACTTTAATACTCTAGAAATTTTGGGGTATTACAGATAACCTAATTAATTAATCTTAAACTGTACCCCAAGGGCATAGGTTAGACAAACCCATTTATAATTATTTGCAATATCATGGAGAACAATCAAATAATATGAAGAACATTAAATTAAAAGAACTTCTCAAGTAAATGACGTCAACATACACAAAGAATGTGGTTTAGCTTCCTGGAAAATAGAAAAATTACAATTTTTTGAGCAGCAAAAAAACATCCAGAGTCAACAGAAATCAATTGCATTACCTGTAGATGTTGTGTTAACAGGTGAGGCAACATAACCTTTTTCATCAAATTTAACTGATCAACTAACCCAGGGATAATTAACTTTAAACTGCATAAGTCAGCAGCCGCATAACAAATTATTTCTAGCTTGAAATCCACAATCAAGGGGAAAATAAGTCTAGATAGAGAATGAATAATGTATAAAGTTGAAGCCAATACCAGGAAAATATTCAGCAACAGACGCTTTGAATTTTGAAAATTTCTCAGATCTGTTAAGCAGACTGCTTACTAAGTACATCTGCATTCAAAGCACAAAAATTTTCATAAAAGCTGAAATTTAATAGACATTGTGATAGTTGAAGATGGTTGCAGCAAAAGCAGCTATTAATGAAAACTCACAACCCAACCCAACCCAACCCTACATAAAAAGACATTTCACAGGATTATTCAAGTTGTATTTTCTTTTACCTCTGCAGAAAATGACGTTGGGGAAGACATACTCTTTGAACAAAAGTGCGCACATTGTAAAAGCTTTTGCTCAGAATCTTGAGCAAGAAGCTCAACATTTGGCATATATATGCCAAAACTTAATTCCACACCACCAGCAATTGTGCAAAGCAACAGCACTTCCAAGAAGAGACCTCCTACTAGTGAAACAAGGGAAAAACCAAATTGAACAAGGGCAGAGAGATCACAACGGACCATTAGCATGCAAGGAGTCCATTTCTGCTTACAACAAAGAATGGAGGAAAAGAAAGGCCACCAGAATAAGTATACAGTGACATGGAAAGATAAAGATCTTGCTGCCATGCACCCATACCTCTCCCAGCTGAGGCACCCACTCCAAATTGCCCTAAAACAACTCTTTGCCACCATTCATTTCATGCCATCATCAAGTAGACAAGCAACCATATACCATATATATATATCTTTTTTCTGAAAAGAACAACCTAAATCACCAAAACCCTTTGCAAAATAGCAAATCTCATATTTTAAACTATCCTCCAGGAGTCTATAATCATCAATGTGGTCCTTCAAAACAATCTTCCCAATCTTGGTAGTCATAAGCATAAGAGTTACCAGGATTGAGAATCCAAAACAAGATATAGTTCTCCTATATAAATTTGCCCCTAAAGGATCATACGAATCCATTTGCATCCATACTTTGTATATGAAGAAACTATATCCAAAATTGCAAAAACACATTTTCTCAATGAATAGAAATATTCCCAACAGCATTTTAGACAAAATACTCACAATTCTAACAGCAAAACTCAAGGAAATTAACCCATGCTCATGAAATAATATCCCAATTGCTACTAATCCATGGTTAATTGATAATGCACTCTTCAGAAATGACTTCCCTCTATGAAATTGAAAATGAATAAACATCTGCAGAAA